GGTGCATCGGCCTCCCTCTTCTTCAGAGATACAACGGCTGGTGCGTCGGCCTCCCTTTTCTTCAGTGACACACCTGCAGGTGCCGTGGAACCTGTAAAATATAGATGATTTTTTTCCATTTAATTTTCATTTCCTTATTAAAACAACGAAATATAACTTGTATAAAAGTATTTTTTTATTAGTTACCAATATAGAAAATTACTTTTTACAGTTTCATTGCATTTTCATTTTTATTTAAAAGTCAATTTTTTAAAACTATTTGTCTGTTGTGTATGTGTCCTTCCACTGTAATTCAGAACAACTTGTTCAGCTTAATTCCCTGACAAGATATATATTAATCTATTTTCACTCAATGTTGCATTTGGAAGCAATCAATTAATGATAACAGAAATAAATTCGTTGATAAAGAAATGTATGACTTACCAAAAGAGGCTAGACAAATAACAGCAACAATTGAAATCCAAACACACCTCATGTCTGCAAGATAGCTTCTCTGGGAAATACTGAAACAACAAAAACCTTAAGATATAACTCGTTTGTAAAACATGTTAAACGATATGGATTGATCTGTGCATATACCAAATACATATCATGTTACAACTGTATACATTAGATGACGCAAATGTTTCCCACGTCTTCATTGGCTGAATCATAATAACGTGGAGGTCGACGATTTGTGATATTGACTCGATGCTATTATTTTTAGAAACAGCAGGTTAATATTAACTTCATGACGTCATTTTTATTGAAAAGTCACAATGCTTTCTGCAAAATTCATTAGTTTCTTCCGTACAATTTCCATAGTTCCATATTTTTAATCAAATAACAATTAAGATAATATTGATCAACTATGGACTATTTCTGTAAATATGTAGTTATATAAACTTGAAAAAGTGATATTGACCTCGACTTCGTCTCGGTGATTATCCACTTTCTCAGGTCTATATAACTACATAGTGACCTAAAAAGATATCTATAACTTATATATATTATCCAAATTACATGAACGTGAGCGTTTGGAAGAATACAACCTATTAAACCCTTTGACCAATAGTACATAGCTTTGTTCTATCTACTTCAATAACAAAACTAATACAGATTATCTTTTTCCCCCCGTCAACAATAATTTCAAAATGCATCATTTTCAGAACAACCGATTGCAACTAAATCTACGTCAATAGTGGCTTAAACATTCATTTCGAAAACTATACTACAGTGTCAACCCATCGTGACAAATTCGACACAAAATCATAGGCTCGGAAACGGAGGCGAAAAAGCCAAACTAATATTGCATGATTACATGTAATACAAATTGTTTCATAAAAATGAAAAATCGTAAAAAAAGAAAAGAAATAAAAGGTGCTAATGGCCGATTGATAACTTATATAATTACATGATCTATAAATCAACCATATCGTCAAGCATTGTATAACGTTACTATAGGGAATCAAATTGAGGATTTTATTTTCATGTTCTATTAACACAATAAATCTGTAGGTTGTATGTGGAAATAAATGTTAATTTTACTGGTTTAATATTGTTTTATAAAATATAATGACATCAGAAAACTCTTCCATAAAGTTGATTATATTATTGTAATGTTTTAGCAATTGGGTATGATGACAAACTCCCATGTAAACGTGGCTCGTAAACCTTTAGATAGACCAACATGTCTTATCTAAATAAAGTCACTGTTAAGTGAAAACCTACGACAGAGTCTAGACCTTTAAGAATCATCAATTCTCACAATGTATTTATCTATTGATCTGTTTAAGTGTAGTTTAACACATAAATCACTTAACCGCTAAACTAAAAATTTCCGATATTTAGTAGATGGTCAAAATTTAAATCGCTAATAATTTTCCACATTAATTATATTATGTATTTGCCAAAGGTGTTAGCCGCCAAATCATCTCAATATTTCTGCTAACATGGTGTACATAGGCAGCTTAATATATAAAAGAAGTACAGAGAAAAGATTACATTGGGTAATTGTTTTTTCTTTATTCCCTATAAACATTTATAAATTCCTTTCTTCATACTTAATTGAAACAGAATACTATCTTCACACAATTATTACCTCGCATTAATTGGGAAGTATAAATAAAAGAATTAAAACTGAACATGCTCTTACCTTCAGATTTAGGATGGTTCCCCGTTCTTTTTCGAAATGTGAGTTGCCTGCGTATAACACTTAGAGAGTTGTGCTGTAGACGAGATTATCGCGGGGTTTTATAGAGAAATATTTGGCACCAGATCGTTCTGGGTTTTTCACGTGACGATTTTTATTGTTATCGGTTTATGAACAAAACAACTCATCTCAATTTCCTAGAAATGTTTATGTAAATTTGCAAGATGTTCAGTTTGGAAAATAAATGTATTCTAATGACGCTGTCAGTCATCATGCTACCTTCCCCACAAGAGACTCGGTATCATACGCTGACCCCAGATGATTGATGGGAGTGTACTAAGGCCGGTCTACGTAATGCACGTAGTAGTGGGAAACCCTAACAGGACGGCCAATGTTACAGTTATTGTGCTGGCTACTTTACCTGGAGCAGGTGGGAAGTATGCAGTAAATAGCTATACAGAAATAAATTGCATGCTTAATTGTGAATGACCTCCCCTGGATCATTCTTCACAACCACCCCTAATTCCTAGATGGATTTATTGACTAAAAGTTTTGGAAAATATGTCATTTGTTTGCTTTGATATATTGTCTTGAACCATTAACATATAATAGTGGCATCATCAGTCAAACATGTCAATGATCCTGATTAGCTTGGAAACATAGCATGAACTCCCAGTAACCATAATTTGTAAAACGAATTGTAATATGTGTTTACTATTAACTGTACAAGTACATTGTGTCACCGGTTGCTCAGTATAACAATAACTCTGACAAGTTGTTTTAAGTGTTTATCTTTCCTTTATGCTCTCCGAGAAACCGGGTATGATGTCCCTAGCCTGCTAATACATGCTGGCGGCAATGTATCTGTACGCCCTCTATATGTAAAGGTTATTGCATGGTTATCGAGCAACAAGGGATTTATTACACCCGAGCGAAGCTAGGGTGTAATAAGCCCCCAGTGACGAGAAATCATGCAATAACTGGCTTACTGCATGCTTCCCAACTCGAACAAAACAGAAAAATTGAGTAAAAAGTGTTCACATGGACAATCTTTTTACCTACCCTATACTGCAAATAATTTACATGTACATGTCTGAGTGAGTACTAATCAGAACCAGGTAAGTTTGTCTTTATTCTCAATAGCCCAGTCTGAGTGTATCCTTCATAATGGGTACAAGTATTTTTGGATTACCTACTATCCAGCTCCAGTGTCAGGGAAGGTAAGGAGTGTCTGTTCAACAATTAGAACAAAATACGGGAAACAATGTTGAATTTCTGACTACATTTTCAGTTTAATTTTCAAGATGTGGCAAAGGTACGGGATATTGAAACCATTTTCATACATACAATGTAAGGGTTTATCAAAATTCCAGTTCTTTTGATGAATGATATATTTGAATGTGCTATTTTGTATAAAGAAANTGACCTCCCCTGGATCATTCTTCACAACCACCCCTAATTCCTAGATGGATTTATTGACTAAAAGTTTTGGAAAATATGTCATTTGTTTGCTTTGATATATTGTCTTGAACCATTAACATATAATAGTGGCATCATCAGTCAAACATGTCAATGATCCTGATTAGCTTGGAAACATAGCATGAACTCCCAGTAACCATAATTTGTAAAACGAATTGTAATATGTGTTTACTATTAACTGTACAAGTACATTGTGTCACCGGTTGCTCAGTATAACAATAACTCTGACAAGTTGTTTTAAGTGTTTATCTTTCCTTTATGCTCTCCGAGAAACCGGGTATGATGTCCCTAGCCTGCTAATACATGCTGGCGGCAATGTATCTGTACGCCCTCTATATGTAAAGGTTATTGCATGGTTATCGAGCAACAAGGGATTTATTACACCCGAGCGAAGCTAGGGTGTAATAAGCCCCCAGTGACGAGAAATCATGCAA